ATTTTGGAATCTTTATTAAATGTGCCAACTTTTATGGTTACTTGCCAAACTCTCGTAGTACATTTTTTTCCAGTACAGCCAGTTAAAGTTGAGCAAAGTTTTACTTTGGAATACTTGGTTGGGAAATAAGTGGCAATTTTTCCTGAACGAAAAAAGTTGGCAGTAAGGTTGAGACACCAGTTTGAAGATGCATTAATCATCATTACATTGTAAAAATAAAATCCAAAAAAAGTTAATATTTGTAGTAACAGGATTTGACAGACTGCCGTAGGGTGTGAAATTTCTATATCTTTTTCAAAGACCTATAATTTTCAAAACGCATACATACAATTTTTTTAAATATTTTTCTGATAGCTGTTATGACTTTGCCTATCACCCGGTTTCGGCTTGACGTCGACTTCTGGGACACCCTGTATAACCTGAATCAAGTAGAGACTGTGAGATCAAACATTTTATTCAATACAAAATAACAGAATTATTCTAATTTGAATCCGCGTCTTGCTTTTCGTTCAGCAAAAGCTTCCATCGCAGAATCCAAATTGAGTGCATTAGCAACTGATCTTTCGATGTAGAGGTTAGAGAAGTTGTTGAGTGTGTCTTTAGCCAAAGAAGTTCGACGGTATCCTTTAATAATTTTCAAAGAGCTCGTGACACCTTCAGCACTAGCTGAACCGATAGTCAAACTCAAAAACAATCTGAATAAACTGCAGCTCTTTGGAAAACTGTCTACAAAATTGTTTGCAATCATGAACTTCAAATAATCTAGCGGGCTGTCATTAGTAAAATTACGATTTTCCGAAAAATACACGGTCGCCAATTCATATTCTGGATCTGTAGTAAAAAATTCCGAATATTTTTCCTGGTTTCTAATTCGTTTTCTTTTAGGTTGACTAATTTCTCTGGAATCAAAAAACCAAACAAATCATTCACTTCACGAAATCCTTCAGTACGTTCTTGCAATTCGTTACTAATTGAATCCAAAACTTCATAGTAATTTATTCGATGTTTTTCGTGTGTTTCCAGTGGCGAGTCAACAGCTTTTTCGTGGAACATTTTTTTGATTTTCTTTCTGACAATGGGAAAACAAGGATTTTCCCATTCCATCTCTTCCCATTTATTCTTAGCTTCAAGAACAAAATCGCATGTGCTTTCGCTCCTCAAATCTTTTAATTTTTTTAATGCTGCTGCAATGCACCTTTGAGCCATCATCAAGTCTATTTCTTTCTTTTGCATTTGAACCTGCACAGTATTCATTACGCTCAATACTGAATGCCACCATAACAAATTTAGGAAAAAGGTCCAGTTCATGGAGGAAAGGAGAGATCTTGCATTCATTATATCTTCGCTAGAAGCTCCCACTCTTGAAATTTCATCTTCTATGCAATTGATATTACATTCAAAAATTTCTTCCACGATATTATCACGAAGAAAATAGATATGTCATCAAATAAAAAGATGCACAGTATTGTGAAAGATTATGGCATTGAAGACGGGAAAAGACTGTAATGATTCATACCACGAAGATATTTATTTACTGAACATTACATGCTAGGTAATAATATATCACTGAAAGCACAAAATGAAAAAATAACCCCTCCTTGAGAAATAAAAGGGTCATTCGGTCATTTTTAAGAAATGATATTTTTCAAAAAATTTCTTAAGAAATGAAAGGGAAATTTTCTTATTCAAAGTGAATGCTAACGCGCTGTTTCATAAACATTACGCGGATGGTCATTAAAAGAATATAACAACACTCTGATTTCTTGTTATCAATTTTTCATTCAGATGCGCTGAACAATATAGACACTAGAGCTGATTTTTACTGGGGGGTCCTGTGATCACCCTTCCTTAGGGATACATGGCGGATACCGAAAAGAACCATCCAAGTTTTCTAACTAAAATAAGCTAGAATTTAACTTCATATATTTTGATTCTAAAAGTTCTTGAGAAAAGTACTTTTGCAGTATAATTAGAAATTCCACGATATTATTTTAGTGCTAGGAGATTCTATGGACGAAGCTCATTACGTCAAAGGAAACCCATGAAGGTTTGTTAACAGAATTACATACCTAACAGCAACATCCAAAAATTGGGAATGACCGGAAATCAAATTTTTGAAGGATACCGAAAAGAACCATCCCAATTTTTCTAACTAAACTAAGCTAGAGTTTAACTTCATATATTTTGAATCTAAAAGTTCTTGAGAAAAGTACTTTCGTACTATAATTAGAAATTTCACGATCTCATTTTAGTACTAGGAAATTCTATGGACGAAGCTCATTGCGTCAAAGGAAACCTATGAAGGTTTGTTAACAGAATTGCATACCTAACAGCAACATCCAAAAATTGGGAATGACCGGAAACCAAATTTTTGAAGGATACCGAAAAGAACCAT